TTGGGACCTTGTCCTTCATTTTATTTCCACGGTCCTTGCAGTTTGGCAAGGGACCTAGGACTTGTCTTTGAATTGAGGTTGTGTGTTTGTGTGATGTAGTCCTTTTGCAAGGGATTTAGGCTGGGCTATCTTTGCAGATCTAAGCTGTTGGTCTAGTGCTCGGTGAGAGAAATTTGAGCTTCTCCTTCAGCATAGAAACTGCCGTTCGGCAGGGATATATTGAAATTTTTTCTGGAGGCCCTCATTTCGCAGAAACTGCTGTGTTGTTGTTTCGGCAAGATTGGCTGGGTTGCCTTGGTTTGTGCTTGATTTTGGAGGAAATAGGCTGAGCCCCCGGGTTCCCACTGAAGACTCGGCAAGCTGGGTCTTTGGGTCTGGCAAATCAGTTTGATGTTTTCTTTTATGTTTGTTTGAAAATTTTGGGCGATTGGCTTCATATGCCAATTTGTAATAACTAATATGCAAGAGGTGGGGTCCACCGCTTTCTCCTGGAGTGGAATTTTGGAATTGCTTTTTTAGCTTTGGACGGAAGCTGTTGCCCACGTAATTAGAGGGTGGTAATGGAGATGACATCTGGACTTAGTGCTTTATTTGCTGGCTGGGCAGTTCTGGATGTCATGATGTTCTTTGATTGGGTTCCCACCTTTCGGCAGGCAAATAGGCAGTCTTAGTGGGGCTTTGTGAAGCTTTTGCGCATGATGGCTGATGGTCATCAATAACATTCTTGCGGATACTTGGGCTTTTGTCAAGCCTTGGAGCCGGGCCCGAGGTGCAAATTCTTGTAAGGGGCTGGGCATAGGGGTGCCAAAGGCAACACGAGATGTGTCTGGGCACAGGGGTGCCGAAGGTAACACAGAGAGCAAGACAATATGGCCAGGCACGGGGGTGCCGAAGATAACACAAAACTTGCGTGATGCAGAACAATGTGGCTAGGCATGAGGGTGCCGAAGGCGAAGGGATGCCGAAGGCACAAATCTTGCATGTCTCAAGGCAATGTGCCTAGGCAAGAGGGTGCCGAAGGTATAAAATTTGCATGTCGCAAGGCGATATGGCTAGGCACAAAGATGCCGAAGGCAAAGGAATGCCAAAGGCATAAAGCTTGCACGTCGCAAGGCGATGTGCCTAGGCACTAGGGTGCCGGAGGCAACACAAAGCTCGCATGTCGCAAAGCAATGTGGCTAGGCACGGAGGTGCCGGAGGGGACACAAAGCTCGCATGTCGCAAGGCAATGTGGCTAGGCACGAGGGTGCCGAAGGGGACACAAAGCTCGCATGTCGCAAGGCAATGTGGCTAGGCACGATGGTTGCCTTGCACGATGGTGCCGAAGGCAACACAAAGCTCGCATGTCGCGAGGCAATGTGGCTAGGCATGATGGTGCCGAAGGCGACGCAAGGCTTGCGTGTTGCAAGGCAATGTGGCTAGGCACGAGGGTGCTCAAATAAAGAATGCCCAATTGATACTCTGATTTTCATTAAAGTCAACTTTTTCCAGCAACGAAGTTAGGTTAGCTTTACTGGGGCGCCGTTCAAGCAAACTATGACCTCTTAAGCTAATGAGCTAACAGCACAGACCTGAGGACAATTCGTTATGTTGATGCTCAAATTGGTTAGGCCAAGATTGAGTCCAACTTAGTGATGAGGTGTGATGGATGATGAATGAAGGTGAGGACCTTAAGCATGTGTATAAAGACTTGGGCAAGCGATAAATGTAAAGAAGACAAGATATACGTGGTTCACCCTTAATGAATGGGCTACGTCCACGGAGAAGTATGTTCTCATTATAATAGTGTATGATTACATTTGTACATGTGGTTGGACCCGAATATAAAGATAACAAGTGAGATGCCCAGGTCAGGGATCTAGAAGAGAGTCCCCGGCCCTAGGGTCTAGCTCTAAGACCCGGATCCTCTTCTAAGTGGGAGAGGAAGTCCCCTTTTCACATGGATACTATTCCCTATTTATAGGGAGGTGAAAGTGGGAGGTTTGTGTAGATTTCCGATGTGGGACTTTGCATAAGTCACTGTGGTGGTGACACGTGTCATGGTGTTGATGCTCTTGGTGCTAGTTGCTTTGATGTTGGATATGCTCGGTTGATTATGGTGTAAACAAAAATCATGGCTGAACCAGTTTGAAATTTCATACCCTGAACGTTTAATGGCAACAAAAGATCTCTTGCTTAAATTATGTAACATGGATATAACGAGAATGAGAAACGAGGGATGAAAAAAATCTCCAAATTGGATGTATATGCACAAAGCTAGAAAGATTGAAAGCAGTTGGTTGCGGAGAGTAATTAAGGTAGATGACAATTTACACGTTTTACGCACAAAGTTCTGCTTTTGCCTTTTCTTGTTGGGTTCCATGTAGGAAGAATATGCATATGGCCTCAATTTACACGTTATAACTACCACAACTTCTTCTTTTCTTTTCTTTTTTTTTCTTTTTTTTTTAAATTTAAATTTTGTCTTATTAATCACCCAAAGTTTAGGGGTGTATTGGGTCCATATTTTTTATGAATTTGAATGAAATTTGAAAGTTGAGGTATCTAATTTAGATTTTTAAAAGGGTGTTGTTAAATGAATTCTAAAACTAACTGAGTATGCCCTATGATCTAAGTACACCCTAATATCATCAGTAAATTATATCATCGATGCTAAAGTATAATCAACGACATCGGTAGAAAACCCCTAAAATTTGTGCTGACACCTTTATACCCATTTAGTCTTATTAATTATAAAATCGATACCTAAAATACTAATAGCATCGGTTTTTAGATTTGTCGATGCCTATGGGGTGTAGTGTAAAGTAAAATTTGGCATAGTGTGGTCCGAGTATGTGGGAGTAAGCAAATATATGCACAAGTATCGAATCTCAAATGGAATTGAGTTTTTTTTTTTTTTTTTTTTTTTTTTTTTACAATTATTTTTGGTACATGGGATGGGATGGGAGAAGACTTAAAATTGAAGCTACCATTGATATCATAGGATGAGCAATTCGTTCAGTTGTCTACTGTTCCTTTCCTACTTGCTTTACAGTGTTGTGAACTTGTCATATGGACTTGCTTCTGTTTTCTTTCTTCTCAGCAATAAGTTGTGTGCTTATGTTTGTTCTTATCCAATCAAGAAACTGAATCTAGAAAGTTGTTGAGAGATTCTTGTATACGTACTCCATTTGAAGTTTGTCAGCGATTATTGGTAATGTATCCAGTATTTTTATGTTTAGGTAGATTGGGAAGGGAAATTTGCTCTTATAAAATGTGACAAGCATCCTGAAATTCCACTTGTGGAGATCATCAAGTATTGCACTGAAATTACATCTTTCTCGATCTTGAGTAAGAAAAGCACTGACAAAACCCAGGAAGTAATCAGAGATGGAAAAAGAGAAGTGAACGGTGGACAATAATTCAAACATTCACACACTGAAAAAAGAAAAGGGCATATGGGATAATGGGAGTGGCAGCACAAACTTTTGCTGCCATTCATTTTTACAAGATGTGGCATGATGTTTGCATATATTAAAAATAACCAAGTAGGCATCGAACGCTAATTTTGCTTTACCTTTTTTTTCCTTGGAGGAGACTCAACCTTGTTTCTTAATAAATATTTTTGGTACATGGGATGGGAGGGCAAAAAGCTTAAATTGAGTTTCTTTCTGGCCACTGAATAGAATATTAGAAGCCTTGTTTATGGGCCGGGTCGAATCCTCCCGCTCTTGCGTCAGCGTCAACACCACTTGTCAATACAGAGAAACGGCGACGTTTGTGTTCCATTGCTCTGCATTCAAGTTCCATGGTTGCAGCAATGCCGCCGAAGCTGATAACTTTGCAAGTAAAGTATATCAGATATTATTAATTTTATTTATGCCCTTTTTTCTCCATGGTTGCAGTAATGAATAAGCTTTCAAGCTTCTCTTAACTTGCGGATGATCAGATATTCAGACTGAGATTCAATTAAAACTTGATAATTTTTCTTAATCTGGAATTGATTGATGTCTTGTTTTGTTCATTCCATGCACTAAATTTAATGTTGCAGCTGCTGATGTGAAAACACATATGAATCGCTACTTGTTGATTGCTACTAGTGGAGGCTTAAACCAACAAAGAAGAGGGGTGAGTTTCTTGATTGAGCTAGAGTAGCATAGTTTTCTTCTATTCAAGGCTTAACTTATTGTTCTAATTTGTTCATATAAAGGCTTAAAAGAACCTTGTGGTTATGCATTCAGATTCCAAATGACTTCTTTATTAGTCTAATTGTTGCTAGTTATTTCGTTTTGGCATCTGGTTATAAGTAGCTCTTGTATAGGACTAGTTGATAGGACTTTGTAACTTTTTCATTCCATGAGGGAATAGTGATGAGACTGGCTTCTAATCATGCATGCTTTTGTTGCTGATTCTGTCTCTGATGCTTTGTTTCCTGATTCTGTTACGATAACCGATGCTGTTGTTGCAGCTTATATCTTGAATGCTACTCTTGTTGTTCTGAAGCTCCACCAGAAATCGTTTTGGAAGGATTCCAGGTCAGTTTCAACATATCACAGTTAAAGAACTATTGTCGAGGTCAATGTAAGCAAAATAGTCAGAGTATTTATAATGTTATTTCGTGTATCTTTGATGTGGACTGGTTTATATCATCTCTCGCAGAAGACGTTGAAATCATTAAACAGCTTCCAACGAAGGGAGGAAAATCAACGAGTCCCAAGGAAGTGTAATGCAAAATGCTACCAGAATCGTTTAGTGTCTGTTCTTAATAAAAAGCTTGTAAGTGTCTTTCAGGAGGCGTAAATAGACTCCTATTCAGATTTTGAAACTTGCAAATTAAAGCCACTGGAACATCTTTTGCTGTTTTCTTTTTTCTTTTCATTTTCCCTGATGCTTCTTGCCGTAAGGCACGAATGTTTATATGAAAGCAAGTTTAGGATTTTTCACTTCTTCTTCATGCTTCACTCTCTTTCATTTTCTCCAATTTCTCCCCTCGCTCTTCTTTTAGTACGTGTTCTATGATAGGCATTGAATCCAACGATGGCCCTGCTTTCTTCATCTCCAGAAATCCAATTGATGTACAATTTAGTACTGTTGACTTTTTAACAATTGAAAACTTGAAATCAATGAAGGAAATTACATGGCTTACATGGGGCGTTAAAACAAACTCAAAATCAAAAGCATCCTCAGCCACAAGGCTTGCAAAGCAAACAGCTCAAATCAAAAGAAATTTTGAATTTCGTCATCTTGGGCATACAAAGCCCTCTGCTTTATCATCTCAGCATCTTTGCCATACAACAGACATATCCCACACTTTTCCACCCCCACCTCGTCCCCCACCGGAAGGGGTTCGCGGTGATAATTCAGTAGGTTGAAGTCAACATTGACCTCAGTAAAATGGTTGTAAAACACAGTGGGGCTTCGAGCTTCCTCTGCAACTTCTTCAAAGACATTATTATACCACCACACAAACACCTCATGTGAATCTTCATAAACAAAGGTTAGTTCATTTATTTGTGAATCATAAAACAAAGGATGGTTGACTTCATGGCTTTCACCATTACTAGTTTTGAAGTTGTACTTGCATCCAATCTTCTGTGCAGCACAGCCAACAACAAAAGATAGAGCAAAACCAAAGAAATCTGTGCTAAACCAATCAGGAGGAAGCTCAATCTTTATTGAAGATCCCTCACTTTGATGGCTGAACCATTTTGGAATTTCATATCCCCAACATCTAATGGCAACCGAAGATCTCTTGCCAAAAAATTCCTGTACCATGGATATGGACATCATAGTTATTAAACTCGTGAAAAAAATAGACAGAATGAGTAAGGCAGACAGAGTGTGTGCGTGCGGTAGAGAGAGAGAGAGAGAGCGAGAGAAAGAAAGAAAGAAAGATAGACAGAGAGACCTTCTCTGATTCATCATGGAAATAATCTGAATAATATGATGATTGTTCAATTTTTTCTTCAATTTTGTCTTTAAACTTTGACGACGAAGTTGCCATTCGCATAATTCTGAGTTGTGCATCAGCCATTATGTTGCTTCGTGCATTCTCATCCAACTTTGGGCAATCAGAAAATATATGCTCCTCACGAAGCCCTCGAGAAAATATATATTCTTCCCAACCTTGTGTGATTGCAGTGCTTGAACTTGACACTGTCTTCAGTGACGTGCAACCTTCTGCTTCAAGACATTGCAGCAATGGGGGGAGCTCTGGTAAAAATTCAAGGCTCTTGCAATCCCTTAGGCACAGGCAAGACAGCTGTGCAGCTTGTTTGATGCTTGCAGGTATGTTCTTAATTTCGGTCCCACTTAGATCTAATTTTTGAAGCGCAACTAGATTTCCAATTGATGGGGG